TTCACTGATTCAGTTTTCAAGTGCTTTGATCGTGACTTTAATAGAAGTATTTTATCTATACTGCAAATATTGCAATTTGAGTTGAAATATTGCAAGTRTTGTAAACATTATGGACATGGTAAGACTATTTCTATAATTGATCCAAATTAATTTGAATTAGAAACTTACGGCATTAAGTAATYGTTGCCACTCAGAAGTTTTACAATGAAGTGCAACTAACACATGTGTGCGGTAAAACAATAATTGGATCACTATATGTACAAATAAGCTTTACAAGTTATTTTATTTCATTTTAAAACAGATTTGGTCTTGTACAAATTCTTTTCAGTTTTCATTTGCTTAATTTCAATCTTTTTAGGGAGAAAGTCAATATTACCCATATGAATATGATCAATACTCATGGACCCAATTTAATGGGTATCCAGTGCAAACGACTGCACCTTTTGGTCAGGGAGTGTACCCTGATCAATCCGAGAACTAYTACAACKCAGGATATCACTTACAGCAAGAAGGCGCTGCCATGCACCCATCCGTTCCCATCATGTCTCAGCAAATGGCCTCAATGCAGACCGGATACTTCATGKSTCCAGATGGGGCAATGTATTATCARTCAGAGAACGRAGAMGYTGTCAAYCATCATGGATTATTTACCGGGGATTATTGTACAGATCCTAGGACAGCAATGGRCTATTACCAATACCCACCCGTACCACAACCATCCATTTACAACTATGRGTGTTATGACCAATTTAACGATATGTACAACTTCCAGCAAAGTAAGCACTTTATTTATGCTCAATAGAGTACCGAATCATATCTTCATTCTTTTTTAAATGATATCGAAGTGTCTTATATGAATTTCCACATTAAGGCTATTATGCAACGGAAGATTACAGTGGMGGACCAACGAGGTCTTTTAGACACCAGTACCATGATAAYAATRTTCAGCCTTACAGCGTACCYCAACAAMCAGCTAGTACACGMTGTAATACATCGACAGCTAAAAACACTGCAAAGGCAAGTCAAGAGGTTAGTCTGAAAAAGAGCGTCGTCTCTTATGTAAAKATGTCAGTATCAATAACTGTAAAGTTACGTTTCTCTAGACTGAGACACTYGCAGCAATGTCAGAGTTACTTGCTGAAGCAGAGGATCTAAAAGCTGCCATACAACGTGGAGAAATACAAATTGRAAACCAGTCTACAGTTATCGCCGGTGAGAAATGTCCTGAASTAAACAACCAAAGTCCAAACCAACACAGCTRCAACGCGCCAGTACAGTYAACAACAACCAGCAGTAACACAGTAGCTAACACTAGTGCTGAAGTGAAGGATGACAAACCTYCAAAGGTACCAAATGAACATAGCGTTAGAGTTTTCACATATACTTACATAGTGCTTAGAGTAGGATATCTACTATTTTCTTATTGGTTTATGAATACATTTAGTGCTGGGCATGTGTACCTAGTCAGTAGTATAAGAAAGTATATTCTGTTTATAGGAGTTCCAAACAGTTACCGTAGAAGACCTATTAAGTGCGGATCCTGTTGAGGCAGATGCCTTGTTAGACGACCTTGAAAGGAGAATCGAGGCAATTTGCGCCAGTGAACAGCAAGACCACGAATCGTCATTTAGAAGTAAAGTAAAGAAAGCACTAGAAAGTGAAGAATTCTCAGACTTATGGGAGATAATGGAAGAAGGTACCGCTGCATCAGAGCCAAAGATGCAAGTTTGTCARCAAGTTCCAAAAGTACCTAAAGCGAAGGAGCGCTCCAATATTGGTGTCCCAAAGGTASAGAAAACGTGTTTACCAGTACAGAGTGAASAGTCAAAAGTGATTGAGGTCATCACAATTAACGACACAGAAGAGACAAACGATCAGTCTCAAAATCAAATGAACCCAAATGRTGYTACAGTAAGTGAACCTCKGAAGAAAARATCGCTTGAYCTTTCATATCTTGATTTTATGCCATTGGAGCGGACCACGCCCCACATTCAAACMCCAGGWGTAWCATCAAAGTCCTTACACAAGAAAYCCGGCTTCAAACMRACAMAGRGTGACCATTTCCATAACGYAAACAAGGACCACCAATCCGGTACACYWACACCAAGTTGCYATGRCTCCAAGACCCAATCCCACCTCCAGTTATCTGACCRTGACGAGGTATTCAGAGCCGAGGGACTAGATTCCGTATTTGTTGAGCTGAGGGCACCCGGAAACGATGTTATTGTAGATCCACAAACTCTGGACACACCGAAAATGCACAAAAATGGTATGTAGGAATGTTTCAGGACTGAGGACTGGTATAGGGACAAATCACGATTTGTAACATTTGTTGATGAGAATGAAAACAAGCATAACGTGGTTTAATAATCGTAATTATCACAATGTTCTAGGTCGTAAACGTTGTAATGAAGACAAAAATAATCATTCAGCAAAGAGATTGAAAGTTTCCGCTGGTACCTGGTTGGCGTGCTCATCTTCATCAACTGACGATGATGTCATCTTCATGGGAGTGAGAAGGTGCAACGCTAATAGAAACAGGGTGACCAGTAGAGGCAAGTGGCGTCCTGGTTTAAAGTAGCTCGTCTAAATTGGATGTGTATGGGAAGAAAGCAAAATCTATTCAATATTGTAAGCATTGGCAGAGAAAATCCAACAAACCAGTACTAAAATGATATCACGCTGCGTCTATAAATGGAGTATTATATTCGGCATATCCAATTTGTTTTTTTCCAATTGAACTAGTGTACATGAGATGCGTTATCAGTGTCCTCATTGGGTAATCTGGCAAGAAAACATCAGATTTTCAACATGTAAATATCATGATTAACAGATAACTCGCCTACGATACATTTCTATGATAGATGTACATTAATTTTACTAGTACTTTTGTATATGTATCACGTATTTCCAAATTGTAACAAATAAAAGCATGATTCTAAAAACAATGAGTGATATTTTATTGTTGTTGTTGTTTGTACGTKTGTCAAACGGACGMTCTTACAATTAACACGAGTGGTTATTAGAGGACCCTCAAACCTTAKTCATRCGATCGGTAATTGATTGGGAGAAGCAACTACATGAATTGTATCGAAACTCAWGACTCATTTTAAGGAGGCTGTGGGCAYAAAAATAGACCTAATTATGAAAATATATTCATTCTTACATATAAAATASACAAGAATTAATAAATCGAAACGAATCATTTTTACCCCAACACAATCACATTTCCCAACCATTAGTCTATCATATTGTCCTTGTATTAATAATCGATGATTTTCAAGTTAAAAGGACCAATATGAATTGAAGTTTCATTATCTTTCCATTAACGAAAATACCTTATTAACACGTTGGGTTCACAGATGTTTTTAGAATTGTGTTTTGACTGGCGTGTTCTGAGTATAAAGGTGATTTGATTGGTTGGTATTACCAATAGTAAATACACCTGAATTTGTGAAGTATTGTGTAAAAACATATACAAACTAATTCAAACAGAGCCATCGATCGGTAACCAAGCTAGTGACGCCCTTTTGCCGTTGAAGATCAACAACTAGTCTATTTTAGAATACTTTCCCTTCTAATTTTCAAAACTCAGAGTTCACAACATCTCAGGATTTCATGAAATGTATACAGGTTCCATTCGAAAATGATCAATGCTGGGAAATTTGGAGAATAAGTTAAAGAAGAAATGGAGAATTCCCAAGGAGAATTAGAACTCGATCATCGGCTCGAGTCGACAGCTAGTGATGAGGAGTGGGATACTGATTTAGAAGCAGACGACATTGATCCTGGAAATGTGTCTGTTGAACAAGCTTACATCAAAGTATGTGAAGACTTAAATGTTCCACCTGTGCACAAAATTCTAAAYCAAATAAACACAGATACAATTAACCTCAAACACTATGGTATTCTGGATAAAGGTGCCCAGGCACTGGCCACAGCAATGACCAACAATGTTACCGTRACAACCTTGAATCTCCATGACAACGGTATCACAGGACCAGGAACAAGTGCTTTGGCAAAGATGCTTTTTCGCAATTGTTTTGTAGCGACTTTAGACTTGTCAAATAACCGCATAGGACRACAAGGCATTAGAGCAGTGTGTTCGATGTTATCAAGAAATGTTACTTTGACAGAGTTGAATTTATCAAATAACAAACTCAGAGACGATGATATCGCGAAAYTGTGTGAGGCGTTGTCCRACAACAGACATTTAAAAAAGTTAAATTTAAGCGACAATGGCATCGGTGATMAGACAGGCACATCAATTAGCTTTCTTCTACAAGCTAATAAAACTCTYGAGTGTCTTGATTTGAGTTGGAACAGAATGCTTGGTAAAGGATCAATGGAGTTGTGTTCGGGYGCAAAACAAATACAAAGYTTGAAAGAACTGAATCTTTCCTGGAATGGTCTTGCAGACSTCGGTGCCAAAGCAGTGCGATATTTACTGGAATATAATAAAAGTCTGGAAATCCTTGATGTCACWAATAACTCCATAGGAATTGATGGCGCAAAGCAAATTGGTAAAGGMCTCAAAAAGAACCGGTGCCTCAAGTCCCTTMWTGTYGGAAAAAACCCTTTCATRAGCACCGGTGCAATAAAGCTCCTAAATGCACTCATATCAAACCCAGACAGCGCTATAGACGATCTTCAAATGGAAAACATAGTCTTCGATAARACATGCGAAAAAGCCCTCGATGATCTCTTAAAACAAAAGCCCAACTTTTCCTGTAAATGGGATGTAATTGTCCAAGGTGGTCAGGTGAGGTCATTGGGTGACGAGATGGACTCGCTTGACAGGTTTATCCAGTTTGTGCGAAACAGAGGCCTACGATTGGTTGATCTTTACCGKGCACTTGCAAGAGGRAATCTACAGTTACGAGAAGATGACTTTGTAAATAATTTGAAATACATGAACATCCAGATGAAAGACAGCGAATTACGAGAACTATTCGAAACTCTTGACGAAAATCACGACAAAGTCTTGAGCTTTTCCGAGTTTTCATCCATCCTAAACGTAAGGATTAAACAGAGAGACAGCAGTTTAAAGAAAAAGAGAACTGAAAGGGAAAGAAAAAAATAGATTTTAGTTTTGTTTTGTATTAAACGGTGGGAACGGAATCAAATCTAATAAAGGAAACTACGCTCACTCGTGAGAGATCTTTTCAACACTTGAAGATAAAATCCGTATCGCGCCCATGTAATATCCTCTATTTATCCTATAGCGCACAATGTTTGTGCAACRTTAGCRTTCACTTAYATATCGAGTTTTGCGACAATRACCAATTAACCAATAATAAGACGTTACAAKTGATTCATTCAATACCTAGTTTACTTTTGTTTATCGCAAAATAAATTACAATACTTTAAAATTTAGTTACACCCTAATACTGTAGTTCTCTTTGATATAACTAGTGTGCACTGTGTACAACACTGTGCATGTCAATCTGTTCATGTTAGTAGTCCTGGTCACTCTTCAGAGCATGCGTAATAGTAACTTACAAGTCTAGTTCACCATCATATAGGATCTTGTTTTCGTATCCCATTCAAGTTATGATTTCTTGATTTCAATATCAATTACAATCATTCTTTGCCATTAATATTTACGT